TCACTTTCTCTCACTCTTCGCTTTGTAACGTCTATGATCATCAACCCTTTTTAGGTACATTTGGTTCTGCGAGCCATGCCAAGCTGTCTTCTCCACGAATTGCGAGTTTGAAAATTGATGGAACCTCGAATAGTATTTATTGCTTTGTTCACCTACGCATGAGATCAATTTAAATCCTTTGTCAGTGTTCTGAGTGAATCTTATGTCTGACTGTATGCATTTGATCAACAACATATCAATTCATCTATCAAATCCACACCACAAAATACAGAACATATGATCACACTGCAAGGGCCAAGTATTCGCCTTTAAAGGCACAGTTTACGATCATGATGGTTCCTACGATGAACTTTGAGCCTCACGGACAACACATGGACGTTGTCGAACTGAAAAAACACCTCGACAGGGTATTATGAGGGCTCTTAAAGCAGCTTGGCGGACCAACACACCCAAAGGTGGACGAGTTCTCACGTCGTTGTAGAGGCTGAAGAGGTTGCACCACTTGCACCGGGACGCACACGTCGCAGCTTACTCTAGCCAGCTGTTCGTATGGCCCTCATATTTCGACAGTTCATCCGAATATCCCTTCCATGCAACTTTTGTCATCACATTCTCATGCAACCTCTGAATTTTTCCGAGCTCCTCTAATACTCGCCCAAATCCTAATATGCCAAAATTATCGTGAACTGCGCCTTCAATGAAAAACAGCTTGCTTTCAAACATCCCAGAGCAACTCTACTCTAGAAGTGCCAGCGTTCGAATTACAAACGATCGGAGATTCGCTGTTGTAATATTGTCTATTGCAGTAATAACAGTCTATTGCATGACCGAATGGCAAGCTAGGCGAAAATCGTGGCTACCACTGACGTAATCAGTACTCACAGATGTTTGCTTGCTCGTCATGAGAACTCCACCAGCACCACTTTGTTGACCACATTCACAACTATTAGGAATTTTAGCTAACAGCTCTTGTTATTTTCAAAATAGCTGTCGGCATTTCCTCGGGAAAAATCCATCAGAACGCCCCTCTGCCTTTCAATATGCTTTTAATCTGAACTCCACCTTCCTTATATAAAGCAGTCTGCAAAATAAATATTCTAAGTTTATGTTTTGTTGCTGAGTTGATTTCTTTAACTCTTCCCGAGGTTCGTACACAAGCTTTATTAGGCTGACGTTCCGGCGGAGGCACCTTCTTCAGAGCCCAGAAAGATCATAGCAATTTATGACTATCCGACCAAACGTCTCCACTGCCCTACTGAAGTTCGAGACCCCCCAGGGCACGTAGGTGACCAAGGGAAAACCACTCACCGTAGCTTTGTGGATTCTTCGAAACCAACCAGCAATCGACGATAA